TCTCTCTCTCTCTCTCTCTCTCTCTCTCTCTCTCTATATATATATATATATATATATATATTATATATATATATATATATATATATATATATATATATATATATATATATATATATATATATATATATATATATATATATATATATATATATATATATATATATATATATATATATATATATATATGATTAGTTTTTTATTAATTGTTAATATTTTGGTATTTGTGATGCAGCTAGTCCAGAAACCATTATGATTTTATATAAAATTCACTTTAATGTGTGATAGGAATAAAAAGTGTCCAAAAATGAAGATTTTCTCAATTCAAACGAGTTGTGGCTTAGACCCGGAAACAGTACTCCATACGTCACCAATATGTCACGACTTAACAAGCGGATTCAGTGCTAGCAATGTGTTTGGCAGATTTTGGGAACATAAATATAAAGTAATATTTGTGAATCGATTTTAATAATTGCATGTGCAGTACGGAAGGAACATCCCACTCTTCATGGGGGCCCCCGGTTTTGAAATGAAGTATGTTAAAATCTTAATGGTTATTGGAAGATTTTACAACATATGATTGAACATTTATAAAAGAGCTGTATGATTAATTTGGGCTTTTTGGCATTGGTCTGGGCCCTTTAATTCCTCGGGGCTCTAAGCCAGTGAGGGTTCTGAAAGTGGGGGTCGGGACTCCTTGAGGGGTCACGGAACAATGAGGGGGGTGATTTCCAAAAATCTACTTATTATTATTAGACCATAAGAATTACCATATTTTATCCATAACCAATGAAGAGAAAAATATAGTTACTATAGTAGCTTATTTACTTGTTCTATTGGATTGCGACCCCTGGGGTAAATACATTATATTAAAGACAGCAATAGCGTCAGATGCAGCAGATTGATTTTATAACACCAGGTTAAACTTTCTGGCCCATTTACAGCACTGAAATACATTAAAAAAAATTAAACGAAGAATAGACTTCGGTCTATTGGTGTGTGTGTGCGCCATTGCATGCAAGTTTTCTGTATTTATAACCACCTCAGGGGATATTGGGGGTCGCGAG